GAAATCTGCGGCTCCTTACCTGTGTTTTCCATGGGGACCAGCTGTCCTCCAGCTCTGAGGTGTCCGGGCTCCTGGTCCCTTTTCAGCCCCAGGGAGGCTCAGCCCGGTGGCCCAGCCCGGTGGCCATGCCCCTCTCCAGCCTGACGTCACCCGGGCAAACCCTCCCAAAACTTCTGGAGCGATGACCCAACCTTGGAACTGCACCTACAACCAGCTGGCCCCGAGCCTGGGGATGTTTACAGCGCGCTTTGGAGGATTCACTGCACTCCTGCAGATGTTCCCGGCAGGCAGCAGACTTGGGGTGGCCTGGGATGGGGTGAACCTTCACTCCTGAGAGGTGGCAAAGCCACTTTGTCCCTGGCCCAGCTCCTCCAGCGGGAAAACTCTGCCCTGTCCCCATCGTGCCCAGAGCCTGACCCAGCAAATGCTCCTTCCTCTGCTGAGACAAATCCTGAACCCCAGATCCAACGGGATTTTAGTTCTGCTTTCTCCTTTCCCAGTCGTTTTGAGCGGGTTTTTTCCCAATTTCCACTCCTTTTAATTGCTTTTCCAGCAGCTGCAGCACAGCTGGAAGCAGGATGGAGCGTGTTGGGCGTTGAAAAACAAAACATCTTTCCAGTGGATCTGCACTCAGAACAGGGAGGTGAGGAAATCAGAGGAGGCAGGGAATCCAAAGGAGCTGGGAGGGTGCACAGCCATGGGATAATTCAATGAGTTAAATGAATTTGACTGTCCCGGAACTTCCACAGCTCGAGGATTGTGCATCTGATTTGCAGAGCTGCCTCAAACCACAAGGTTGTTGCTTAACAAAAGGCTGAGGCTCTGCTGCAGCTGCTGATTTTCTCATTTTCAAGGCATGAGCTCATTTAGGAGAGGAGCAGAAGCGTTTTCTGGCATCTCTTCGTGTTGGGCAATAGGGGAGCAACGGGCAAGGCTCCTCGTGACTGCAGAAAGCTCATCCGAGGTGCACTTCACCAAAAAACAGCACTTTTCTGACCAAAACCTGTCCTTCAGTGTGGCACCCAGCCCTGCCCTGACTGCACATTAGCTACAGAAAAGGCTTTTTCACAGAAAAGACACCTGCTCCAGCACCTCCTGGGGTTCCCCATCCTGCTCCTGGCCCTGCTGCTGAAGTGGGACCCCAAGCTCCCAGGGCTTCACTGAGCAGATATTAAAATATCATTAATTGAAGGGGACTCGGGACCAGCCTTTGTGTCTGCCAGGAGGAAGAGAGGAGCTGGGAAGGGAGCCAGGCCCTTCCAGGGGGACATGCCAAGCAGAGGAGAAAGGACAGCAAGAGCTCCGGGAAGCTCTTATCCAAGGGAAATTCAGCATGTTAAATCAGGGACTTTCTGAAAGAAGCATTATAAGAGAACGAATTAATTTTACAGCTTAAAAAACAAAAAGCATGGCACACTGCCCTTCCACAGCATCAGAAACAAAGCAGTATGAACTGCTGGGAACTGTCCCCCAGCTCAGGTTCAGCTCCTTTGGGGTTATTTCCTCTCCACTGGGGAGCTCAGGGAGCACAAACCACTTTTATTTTGCTGCACCCTTCACTGACCCATGAGGCTGGAGGTGAGCACCTCCTCCTCCTCCTCCCCAGCAGGGTCTGTCCATGGACCTGGCAGTCCCACAGGCCAGGCCAGGAGCTGGCAGTGCCCTCCATCCATCCCTTGGAGCACATTCCATGTCCCACCTCCTGCCAAACCTCCCCCATTCCACTGCCCCTCACCCAGGGCTAGCACCCACCCAGCGAATCCCCCCAAGCACAGAAATGAATTGTTCTTTTTTTTAAGTGGGGTGAATTTCCCAGTGGCTGGGGGTGATTCAGCCCTGCAGATGGACGATGTGCCACGCCAGGAGCACGCAGCTGCCCTGGGGTCACTGCTGGCCCGGAGCTGGGCTGAAGGGACCCGCCTGCGAAGCGCCGCCGCGGGCGGTCGGATCCTCCGTGTCGCAACTCTGCAAAAATCCCCCCAGTTCGGTTTCAAATATGTAAATACTGCAGCCCCAGAGCCTGGCCGTGCCAACATGTAATCCCTCTATTTATTTATAATCCCATAAAATCCCTCTGCCTGAGCCCAGCCACCCGAAACTCTGGCGCACCCCAAAATCAGCCCAGGCTTTGAAAACCATCCCCGTTTCCAGCACAACAAAACAGCCAGAAAGCCAGGAGTTTAACAACCCAATCCATCTTTATTTTGGGAGTATTTCCGGCTGGGAGAGGAAAATCCTCACCTTTACAAGTACAGCCAAGTGCTGAAAGAAAGGCAAGTGTGTAAAAGGAGCTGCTCGTGGTCCAGCAGCAGGAGGAGTGTCACAAATGTGTCACCTCCAGGCTGACACCCTCTGCTTCTGCTGTCAGAGCTCTGCATGTTGGCTGTGCAATAAATCTCACTTGCTGAACAAAGATACTTTTAAATAAGGACTTTTCTTGGGAACCTAAAGAAAACCAGACACGTGAAACTCTCCATAGAAAAATACAACCTTGTAGCAACAGCACGAAGTGAAGGCTTTTTCCAGGCTTTGGGTACATCACAAACCTTGCAAGGCAGCTCCGACATCTCACCTGGGGATGGGGAGCCAAACTGGCTGGATTTACCCCAAATCCCTCTAAATCCAGTTTATCTCTGGGAGCACAGGCTGGGTTTGTGTTGGATGGATGGGATTTGGAAAGTCACTGACAACAGCTGAACGAAGAGCTTCAAATGCCAGGAAAAAAGCTCTGCTGGTTCCTGGTTTAATTTTGCCTGGTTTTTTTCCCTATTCTGGCAGTTACAGACATCTTAGGACACTTTGAAACACTTCTGATATGAGGACAGTGATGTTTTGGGGTGGAATTCTGCCCCACTTTAACACATGATGTCACCAGGCCAAAAAAATCCCAACCAAACAGGGAATTAATTTAATGAGCCGAATTCCCTGTCCTGTCTGTAGCTTCACAAAAACCAGTGCCACCATCCACTGGGCTCCTCCAAAATAAACAACAGCACCAAACTGAGCTAATCTGGCTTTAATCCAAAGTTTTCCCACCTGAAATGTAAGGAAATATGGAAATACCTGAAACAGACAGCACAGAACTATTTTACAGACTATTAACTCCAAGTGAAAGAATAAATTCAAGGCAGACACCAAGGCTGCTCACAGGTCACACTAATTCCCTAAATCCAGGTGACAAGAATGTGCTGGATTGATGGGCAGGTGACACTTGGCTGAAACACCACTGGCAAAAAGAGACCAAAGAAATGTGGGATTTGGGGAAAATGCACTCAACTTGTACACACCTGCAAGGGAAAGTGCCAAGAGAATTCCGAGTCCCAATTTGCTCCAAATCAAGGCAAAAACTCAGAGCTCCCAGCCAGCAGCAGGGCTGGGGCTAAAGAAATATGACATCTGAATTTGGTTTTTTTTTTCTTTTCTGACAGGGAAGTTTCACCCCTGTCAGGCAGTGCTGGAGCTGCAGTTTGCTTTAATCCTGTCCTTTTAATTCTTTCCAGGATTGTTGTTCCCTGGGATGTCCAGGGCTTTCTGTAGGACTTGGGCTCAAATTTTAACTACAACCCCAAAATTATGCATTTCTATGCAACCTATGGGTACAAAAGAGGAAGGAAAAGTCTGCATAAGGAGTTCACATTTCCCTATATCAGAAACTGATGGAAACAGATTTTGGCTGAACGCAGTGATCAGCCATTATCAGACGTATCACACACATTATTGCCTGGTAACTCCAAACAGTTGGGACACACAACTCCAAATTTACCAATTTTTTTGTTTTCTCAAGAAAAAGCAAGGCCTTTTCTAACTTTAAATTGAAGACACATAAATGATATGACTTATGAAGACAATGTCTCAATAGAAAGGCATCCTTGTATCTGTTCATTGCAGAGCAAAATGAACTGGGAAGCAATCTTTAATTTCCCCTTAAAAAACGAAAAAAAAAAAGTGATGATAGCTTTGTGTAGAAAAAAACCAAAAAAATAATATACTTTCAACATACATCTGTCATATCTCAGGCTAAAGGACCACATAGTCTACTCTTTTTAGTGCTTCTATGCAAACCAAAGGCACCTTTCTTATGGGTGAGGCTGTGACCTGGGACCATTTGATTTGGGGTTTTGCAAAGGGGGTGACAAAATGGGCCCTGTGCTACTGACTGCAACCACAACAACGAGGGACTGGGAACCACTGGAGCTCATGAATGCACTGGCAAGGAAAATGCAAACATCTCCAAAGCACTGTGTGTGAGAGCAGCTGGCAGGACACGCGTTGCGACAGCCAGGGGTACAATCAGACTGCTCGGGATGGAGACAGGGCACAGCCACATCCACTCTGCCCACCCCGCGCCCCCCAGCATGCAGGACAAACCCCAGTGGCACCACATGGCAGCACACAGCTGCCACCCTGCAGGGGAGAGGACTGGGAGTGCCAGCAAAGTGCCACTTTTGATCTGCCAATGAACATTTTCAGGCTGGTGGGGCGCCGAGCCGAGCTGGCCGTGCAGTTCAGGACCCTCCTTGCAGCAGGACAGGGACTCTGCAGTGGTTTCTCCCGTCTCTTCTCAGCAGGGGCATCTTCAAAGCAGAAGCAGGCATGGCTGAGCTGGTGGAGGAGCAGGGGTGGGTGTGCAGGACGGGCAGAGTGCCCAGGGCACGGCCAGAGCCTGCAAAGCCCCGGGGCAGGAGGCTCCAGCAGAGACTGGCTCTGCTCAGACAGGCTTTTCCTGAAGGACAGCCCAGCCTCCTGCCCAGCACAGCCAGGTGGGAGCTCCAGCCCCAGCCCCAGGAGATGC